CAGCTTCAGGAGCTAAAATGGCATTTCCATTGCTCTGGCTGCACTCCACCCGTGCAGTGCAATCCATTCCTAATGAAATCCCAGTCATCCATTAGCTCCTTTAGGACACTGACACTAGACCATCTAAACTGAACCTCATGAGTTGAATCACCTGTCTCTGAGTCCACATATTACAAAAAATACTTTATAGAAATGCTTGAAGAAATGGTCAAAATCCTCCTTCACTATTCTTTTAATAAAACACTGATGAGTTTACCTGTTTCACATCACTACATTAACTAAATTATGATGAGTACAGGTCCTTGCTATCAGCTTTTTCATCACTATACAACTGATACGCTGTCAAACTTACAAATACTTTTATTTTGTGTTTGTGTATTACTTCTTACACCTTTGTTCTTTTTTTTAGCTTAAGATTATGTTCTTAAACCACACGTCTTTACTTTTTCTTATACCATACCTCTTCTAAGAGCTAAGGGTTACTGCCTAAAACATTGTTTTAGTATTTGCTAAGGTAATTATTATAATTTTGCAAGTGTTTCATCTTGTTTGTTTTCTTCTACAATTTATAATTTTGTTTACCCACACACCACATCAGTCGTTTTGAGGTTGTAGGAGAATTGTGAAAGATATATCATAATCATTGGGCATTATAAGAAAAGTGTGTAACAGAAAACACATTTATGATAAACTACCCACATAAAGGCTAATAAATCTGACCACATTTATAAAGAAACAAATATGAACTGAGAAACAGATATTACATACATATATCTTTTTATTTAAAATACAAACTCATAAGTTAAAACTTAATATGAAGATAAATAAACAGTATGATCTAAAGATAATGAAGTTAAAAGATGTTCTTGACATATAAAGTATAATAAGGGTTATATATATATCCAATATAATTAAAACTGGAGCAATTAATTTCATAACAGATATCATATTAAAGGCCATTCATTTAATATTGTATAGATTCCTTTGATAATAAGAATACTTCTACAGATGTATGTTTTATGTCACTTTCTAAACACATCTTATATCCCTTTGTAAATATGTCTTATGTCACTCTGCAAGTTTAATTTTACATCTACAGATTCTAAAATCTCATAATTTATATAATGTAATTACATCGTCAAAATATTGGTCTACAAATTATGTTCAGAAAAACCTTTAAAAAATACAGTCTGGCATGACAGAAACTACAAAGTTGTGAGTACACACTACCTTAGACTTCTGATTATCTTTTAGAGTACTTACTTTTTCACCTGGTCCTGACGGTAGAGGTAATACTTCAACGTATGCAACTTCAAAACTAATCTTTCTGATAATAAAAGTATCACATACATTAATTACAAATATTTACTCACAATAACAGAATGGTTTGTAAAATATTATATTTTAAATAATCTAAAAGACATAGATCAATCTAACATAGTTAATATATAAATGCTACTAAAATAACTATTAAATTGAATCATGTAAGTTTATATATATACAAGAAAATTGTCAGAACACCATTGTAACCTGTTCTATGATTGGTTGGGTTCTTTTAAATATTTTGGTGAAAATATGGTTCAGTCTACATAACAACGAATTACCTTATTTCTTCAATAATATTTGTTACAGCCTATGCTTACTTTAATGTAAATTGTAGATATAAATTTGGAAAGAAACTTTTCATTTTCAACTACTGTAGACCTAATGCACAAGCAACATTTATCAGAAAATTAATTTGAATTATTAACAAAACTAACTTACTGATAAATTTTATTTGATCAACTACTACTCACACACCAAATATATTTCTGAACTTTCAATAAATAATTCACTTCTTCTTACTAGTCATTACTCATATTAAAACTAATGTTCCACTTAGATCTTAGTCAAATTTATTAGATCTAAATCTCACTCTCTACTTAAAATCTAAATTTAAAAAATTTAAATATAACTATCCATACTTTCCACTCCTAGATTGTGAAGAAACATCAACAATCCTAATACAAAAATAAAACATTACACAAAACAGTCCATTCACCAAGTCATTTTAGTGATTTTCTTTTCTGAGGCTCACATTATAGAGGCAGGATGGCCCCTTGCTCTCCTGTCATTGGGAGAGTTCTCCTTATGTAGATGATCAAGTGAATCCAATGTGGCTCTATCCTTGGTGATCTTCTGGAAGTAGTCTCAACAGGAACCTTGTGCTCATCAGTAGGTTGATTTCTATTGAGTTACCCAACTAGTTGTTCTTTCCCTGATATACTTTTGAAGACCATCATGATGGATGATTTGGATAGCCTCCCCTTCTGAATCCTGTAAACCACATCACTGATTTTTTTTTCTATAAAATATACAGCTCTTCCCAACACTTCTTAAACCTTGGATTCCTCCTTTCACACAATGAGACTTGTTTAGCCAAATCAAGCCACCTTGACAAAATCCAGTATCATAAGCACTAACATCATAGTGACTTTTCATTTGATTACAAATTGATTTAAGCTTTTATTGGGTAGAGTCATGTATGGCATCTTTATTCTTTAGATACATGAGAGCCATTAGAGCAATAAAATCCCTCAGAACCATAACTAGAACTAGAGCCATAACTACTATTAAGCATTGGTAGCTCTATATTCAACATGTTCAGAATGACACAGCAAAAAAGAAGTATCCAGAACAAACTTCTGGAACAGTGTACAGAGGAAGGAATATACTTTAGCCAAACTTGTAAAAGATTTGGAAAGGCTTACCCAATTACCTCATTCATATAATTCATATGAAATGATGGATTAGTTAGCATGTGATCAAATTTTAGATACCAAGCAGATGATGATATGAAGATTAGGTTGAAGCAAAGTAGGTGTGCATCTTTAAAGGAAGCTCTGCAGTTGATAATGGACCTTAAGTTTATTAAAGTCACAGATAAACAAATAAAGACACCAACTCAAATTCATTGGATCATCAGCTCTCTCTGATGATAGTCTAGTAGAACTGAAAGAATTAGTTAAACAACTAACTACATCTAATGAAGAAAATAAGACACAAGAAATAGGTATTTCATGTGTAACTTCAAAGGACATACTACTTGTAACTGTGGACAAAATCCTGTAAGGAATTAAGAACTTCTCCCAAAGCATACCAAAAAGTGGGAAGTGTTATACATGTTGTAACAAATTTGTTATTATACATTTATTTTAATATCAATATTTGTTTAGATTAAGTATATATTTTAAAACATACATAGCTTATAGTGTTAAATATTTATTGTGAAACTCCCGCCTATTCTCCAAAGTTGTAGAAGATTCTCGATAATAAGAATCAACAATATGTGTATATACGTAAACGTTCAAATATAGCTCAGTACTGTTATGTAATCTGAATTTTCTAGAAAACCTTCCCACGCCTATAAATACAACCAACATGACACGCAAAAGAGAGTGTCTATTAGTAGTTTGCTATAATCAATGTGCTATAAACTTCAAAAGCTATAACTGTGATTTTTATAATGCTTATCAATTGGAAAACTTCAGATATTTGATCAGGAAGCTTTACAAAGTTTGAACATTACAAATTATTTAACTTCAGTGGATTCTCATCGGACATTAGTATTTTTACGAAAACATTACCTAACTTTATTGGTAGAAAACCTAGCATTTGTGGCCAAGGACAAAGCTAGCTAGCTTCCTGGTGAATCATGCTTACATCAACTCGTAAATAACTCGCTCATCATAAACCCTTGATAAGATATCAAGGGAGTTCAAACTAGAAAGAAGATTTAATATTGTTTGTAAGTTTGTGAAACTTTTGTTTATAAATCTTTGTTTGTAATAATTGTTACTGTCAATTGTATTGTTGTATGTATATTAAAACGTATTTGTGTTAAAAACAAAGACGGTATGTAAATTTAAATTATCAGTTAACTCAGCTTTGGACTATTCGAAATTCTAATACGTAACAATGTGTGAAATGTGGCTATTACTGTTGAGACTGTGAAGAGTCAACAGCTGTTAATACACCAAAGAGACAATACTCTAAGGAAAAGTCTCTAATCCAAATCACATCAAAGGAACAACATAAGGCTATCCAGACATTGGAAAACAGAATTTAGTTTAGAGTGAAGCACAGCTGAGAATATCCTATGTACCTCAAATAAGATAAGATATTCATTATTTAAACAAACTACTTCACAAGTCCACAAGTTTATTGAAAGTCTTGCAGCATACTGATCACCAATAGTTCTCCAGCCACAACAGTCTGACCCTATTTGATAATGAAAGGTAAGAAGTTTGCCTGATAAAGAAAAAATAAGACGGAGTGATGCAAACAGCAGGTGGACATTAATTTCTAGTAACAGGAAAGTTACAAGTTACCCTTACTGTAAGAAGCTTCTGTATAAACCATGATGTGTGAATAACTGATATTGATATTTGGAACTAACTTTGTGGAAAGACATGAATGTAAGTTTAGGCTAGCTTCATGGTGTATGACCAGGAAATCCTTGTACACTACATAAAAATTATTACACTAGAAGATGAACTTCAAGTGATGAAAGGGAGGATGGTCATTGTATCATCAAGAAGTGAAATACTCAAACCGGGGATTATTAGGAATAAATCTTCACCTAATGACTGGAACCAAACACTCTAACATGTCCTGAGAGATTGATAGTAGGAAGAGCTCACATGGGTCTGAAGAATAAAGATGTCATACATGATTTTACCTTGAACAGACTTAAATCACAAAATAAAATAGAACTTCACCATGATGTTAATGTTGATAAGATAGGTTTCCATTGAGGTGACATGACATAACTGTAAACTTCCTGTCACAAGAAAGAAGAAACTCTAAAACTAAGCAGGTGTTGGGAAGGCACATATATTGTACTGAAAGTATCAATGATGTATTTTACATGATCCAAAAGATCACCCACCACGTTCATTTTTGGAAGTACATCAGTGAGAAAATAGCCAACAAGGTAACTATTGAAATGAACCTGCAACTGGAAAATAAACTTGATGAGGATACCTAGGGTTTCTGTTGAGACCACTTCGAGAGGATTACCAAAGATAGAGTCTTCAGTGAACTGACTCAACTACTTATCTAGTTAAAACTCTACTAGGAACAGGACAGCAAGTGAAGAAAAGGGACAAGAGGACCTGACATCTGTGTATCATAAACTTCAGAAAGGTAAACCATGAAAAAGACCTCGTGAATGGACAGTTTGGTGAAATGTTTATTTTTGTACTAGGATTGATCAATGGACCTCACAATCCAGTGTTTTCATTTAGATTACTCTTTACTAGAGGGTGCTGCTAATCATAACAATGTTAATTGAATATCTATTATTTTAATGAATATCAGGGATTGAGAAGATTTGTGAAATATATAGAAACAAGAATACAATATCAATACAAGTAGTGAGTAATGAATAAAATATAAAATATAATTAAATAGTATAATTAAATAATTAGTTGCTTATAAATGAAAATTCAATAGTCTTTAGTAAGTTATTCAGCTCAATGTTTGTAGTGAGTGTTATAACATGTATTCAACTATTAAGTTACTCTGTAAGTGATGTGTTTATCAATCAAAGCAAATTTAGTTAGGCATATGCTTCACAATTTATATTAAATTCTTGTATTTGAAATTAGACCTACAGCAGTTCTGGAGCTTCTGTTCAAAGTTTTGTATTTGAAGTTTTAGGAAATTATCTGTAGGTAACACTAACCTGCATGGAATACGGCATAAACCTTCACAATAATGACGTGCATCAACCGTCTCTGACTTAAAAGGATTTGTTTTGCAGGCTGAAATGAAAACCAAAATTATACTTATAGAAATTTAGAAATAATTACAATGTTAGTTATTGTACAACAGGAAAAGTAGATATTTTTGCTTTATCATTTGGCAGCCATCATATTCAAAGACCTATTACAATGTTGTTGACTATGTATATTTACAATATGCGAATGAAACCTGGTTATACCATAAAGCCCTCAAAGCATCTTTAGGCTATATCTTAATTTAATGATAAAAACCATAGTTTTTGTCTTTTCTTTGCATATAGACACTTGATACATTAAGAACGACTGAAATATTTGAGTAATAATTAATGTGTATTTGTTACTTTATAGATTTAATACATATTTGTTGTTACTTTATTAACGTTTTTATGCTTAT